ATCAGGAGATGAAACATTGAAACTGAGTGTAGAGAATCATTATGTTGTTAGAAATGTGAAAGGTGTGGCATATGTGAAAGTCATCAACAAACATCAACCTTTCATCCAAATACCTACACATCAGGAGATGAAACATTGAAACTGAGTGTAGAGAATCATTATGTTGTTAGAAATGTGAAAGGTGTGGCATATGTGAAAGTCATCAACAAACATCAACCTTTCATCCAAATACCTACACATCAGGAGATGAAACATTGAAACTGAGTGTAGAGAATCATTATGTTGTTTTACTTTAATACCGGTCTACCGCAGAAGATTGTCTGTTGCTAAGAGCTTCTACTAAAAAAAAAACAATTTAACTAAATATGTCAAGACTAAAATAAATTAGAAAGTAACATACAAATTAATGAAGGCATTTCTGCGTAAGTAAATGATTAGAGATATTTAATGGTATAAAAGCAACCACAATGAAACTGAAATCTATATTCTTCTGAATAAAGAGCACAATTTATAAATATTACATGTTCCCTCATTTCTAAACTCATATTTTGTCAAATATATTAAAGGCGTCGATATCGTGGTTTATGAAAAGGTTTGAAGTTATATTTAATTCAATACTAAATATGATAATCATCTGTGATAATATTTAAAACTAAAAAAAAATTGTCTTTCGAGAGAAAATGTATCATTTCGGACCTTTATAATAAAAGTGACAAATCATTTAATTTCAGCACAATCTTTAGTTTCACAAACATACATTGTAACACATCTTTTAACATGTTTATCACATAGATGAACAGATCAAACTCATTTCATGCTAATAGGATTTGATTACTGAAAAGAATTTGACAAAATATGGCTAACTCTAATGTGTCAGTAGAAAAGTACTGTAATGATTATTGATTTCGAAACATAGCAACGATTTTTGTTTAGCTACAGTTACTGAACGTAGAAATCAGATGTAAAGTACCTCTAATATGGATTCAAACCCAGATTTATTTGTAGAAACCAATACACTGCTTAGAAGACATTCGCTCTGAATTTTCTATAGTTGTATTGACACCCGAGTGTGTACATTATTATTAATCTACCAAGATGTCTTTTAATTTTATAATCCTGTGTTGTTTTTTAATAGCAAGTCTCTTTATTTTTTACACAGTATTCATTGAATACTAAGAACTTCATGCAGGCGGTTAAGCTAATATTCTGGTTGAGTGAGAACAAACAACGAAGTTGCAGGTTAACATGTTATCTGTTGATGTGATTTCTGGATAAAGATATATAACTAAGAAGTTGAGACAGATCAAAAACACTTCACTGTTGTTTCCGTTGATAAAGATATACAACCGAAACGTTAAGACAAAACAAATTCCCTTTATTGTTATGATCCCTTGGTAAATATATCTGACCGAAACGTTAAGACTAAACAAAAAACCTTTATTGTTGTGATCCCTTTATAAATATATCTGACCGAAATGCTAAGACAAAACAAAAAACACCTCACTGTTGTAGCGTCTTGATAAAGATATATGACCGAAAAGTTAAGACAACACAAAACATCTCACTATTGTAGTCTCTTGATAAAAATATATTACCAAAACACTGTAACAAAACCAAAACATTTTGAAGTAACAAGTTCGTAACATTTCAGCTTTTGTTATATCTTATAATCAGTGTTTTGCTTCGAAAGCGTATTATACAGTTTCAAGG